CGTAGGGTCTCGGCCTGCGAGGTGCGACCGGATGCGAGCAGCTCGCTCGCCTCCGCCTCGGCAGCCTCACTCGCCTGCGAGATGCGTCGCTCCGCCTCGAGCCGCGCCGTCTCCATCGCCTTCTCGACTGAGAGCCGGTCGGCTCGGGCCGGCTTGGCTTGCGGCTTGGCCGGCGGCGGTACGGCGGCAGGTAGCTTGGCAGGTGGCGGCGTGGCCACCTTTTCGACGCGGCTGGGCGTCGTGTCGGTCTCGAGGCCCAGCACCCCATTCAGGCTCGAGCGCCAGTGGTCCGCATCGCCTGTCGTCGTGGCGGTCAGCTTTACGAGCACCTTGTTGCCCGCCTGAGAGAGCCGCACAGTGAGGCCCGACTGCTCGACTGCGGTGCCGTCAGCCAGCAATGTCTGTCCCTTGGGCTTGGAGCGCGCCTCGTCCTCAAAGTAGAGCAGAGTGGGTGCAAACCCATGCATGGGCTTGCCGGCGTACAGCACGCAGTAGCGATTGTACTCGCGGGATGCCAGGACACCGGTTCCCGCCTTCTTGAGCCAGCCCGTGACAACCTCTTCGCCGGCCGGAGGCTGATCCTTGACGTCGCCGGCGCCCTGCAGCGCCTGCATGCGCGCTTTGACGTTGGCCTTTGGTGCGTTCTCGACCACCATCGCTGGAGCTCCAGCACTTGTTGAGCACTTGACTTCGCGGTCGCCGCCCTTGCGCCAAGCCGCCCTCCGCAAGGCCACCCGGGGACCAGAAAAACGGTCGCGGTACAATTGTATGTGAGTGGAGTGCTCTCTACTGCCGCGGCGCCCCTGTCGGTTCGGAGGCGCCCGGCGGCCGCGCGCTTGGTGCCGACGTCGACCGGCTGCTCTCGCGGCGCCGAGGCGTGCCTGTACATGTCTGCGGCCGCGGGCGTGCGGGCGGGCTCGCCGGGCTGGGCGAAGCTCCGAGCGGGTCTTCGAGCTCGCCGCCCGCGAGGAGCCAGCATGGCTCGTCGCTCGACGGGAGCCTGCCCAGCATGCTCTGGGCCTTCTGTACAGCCTCGCCAAGCTGTCTGGGAAGGCCTACAGAGCCAGGGCGGGCTGCCTCGGGCGCGATGGCGCGCTGAATAGTTCCATGACTACGAGCTCTCGATCGGGTCGCCGGCAGCGGGCTTGCGCGGCGTGCTGCTCGACGGCAGGCCGCTCCCCACCCTTTCAACAGTGTCTTTTACCTCGCTGCTCTCGCTGCAACCGCCTCCGGGGGCCGGCGCCGGCCGCCTCGCTTCGCCAGCGCTGCCTCGCCTACGACACGCGCATCGGCTCGCCGCCCGCGTCGCCTGCGGCGGACCCGCGTGGCGCGACGCTCGTCGGGAACGTGCTCAGCAGGCTGTGCAGCGCAGCCTGACTCACTCAGAGCGCAGCTGATGCGGCGTGGGGCCGCCGGCGGCACTGCTGCCGCGCACGCTGCGCTGTGGGCGTCACCATCGTGTCCTCGCCGCGTCGCCGACGCCACTTGCGGCTCGTGCCTGCCCTGCCCTTCCCTGCCATCGCGCAAACAAACACACACACACACGCACACACACACACATTATTAATGATCGAGTATTATTTATTAATTATTAATCATCGGGCGGCGGCGCGGCGCGGCGGCGGGCGGCGCGAGGCGGCGGCGCGGCGAGGCAGCGGGCGGCGCAGGGCGGGGCGGCGCGGCGGCGGGTGGGTAATAATAATTATTAGTTATTAATGAATTAATAATTAGAGGGCGGCGGCGCGGCGCGGCGGCGGGCGGCGCGGAGCGGGGCGGCGCGACCATCAGCAGACGCCCAGGCCTTTGGCTGTTGGAGCTCGGCAGTGGTCGCGCCGCCCTCGACTCAAGGGGCTGCCTTCCACCCGTAGCTGCTCAGGCCGGGGGAGGGGGGGAGACCTCCTGTTCCTCTCGCGGAACGGGAGCAGGCCCCTCCTTGCCCGGTCTGCGATGCAGGGCGGTGGTCGTGCCATCTTCGCTTCGTACACGAAACCACCACGCCGCATCCCAACCGTCGCCGGCGCGCGACACGTTCCCGTAGGCCGGACTGTCCTCGTCGAGTGTGTGCCGGTCACGGCTGGCATCCGTGGCGCGGGACTCGTCTTCGAAAAAGTCGGGCATGGCTCTAACCGCAACTTTCTCGCTAACACGCGCGCACCGCCGAGCCTGCGGCGGGCGCGCTGCGGCCGCACGTCTAGGCCGCACGTCTACCTCCGTCATAGTGCCACGACGTGCGGCCTAGATTTAGCACACGCGCCTCTGCTCGCATACACTGATACAATGAATTGTCACCACCCGTGAGTGCGAGATAGGGCTAGCAGTAGGCAGCTAGCCTGTGAGGAGGGCGTCCATAGACACCTCACTAGACCCCACACACGGTCTCGTCCGTGCCTCGCCGGCCGGCGAGATTGCTAGAGGTGGAGCAAGCCTGCTCTAGCCTCGCATGTTACTTCCTGTCGTCTGTTGTTTGTTGTGCCCTTGCTTGTTCTCTTGGCACCTTGGAGTGCTGAGGGGGGCGACAGGGAGGATGTGGCCTTGAGTTATGTGTGTACGCCTACTCAGGGTGTGTGGCAGCCCGCTGGCTGTGTGTCTTGTGAGCCTGTTTGTGTCTGTGTGTCGCTCGTGCGTGCCGTCATCATCTGTCCAGCGTCCACCCATACCGCGTTCGTGTCCAGTCCGAGCCTGGCTGTTCTTCACCTTCCTACATACATACATGCCCCAGGGGCAATTTCCTGGGTGTGAGGCTACCGACTGCACTCCAAGTGCTCCAAGTGCTTATTAGGACCGCCGCAAGCGGCGTGGCGTGAAGCGGTTGAGCATCCCTCCGGAGGCCCCTCTGCGCCGGGGAGAGGCGTTGTTGGAGGCTAGGTGCATGTGCATGCACATGCGCATGCACATGTACATGTAGGACGCAAGAGAGAGAGAGATTTTTAGAAGCCAACAAGAAATGTGGCAAGCGTCCGTCGCCCTTAACTCGGGGCCCACTCCACTACGCTCCGGTCCGAATTCGGAGGGCCTAAAAGTTTGAGCTTTCAGGTGTTGCTGCGCAAATGGAGGGGGGAGGTCATGCTAAGAGCTAGATCGCCAGAGGGGGAGGTAGAGAGAACAACCACGCTGTCCCTTTCGAATCCTTGTGCTCCCAGTTCTTTTCGAGGCACGAACACGTGTTAGTGCCAGTGCGCGCCAAGTCCCGTGCCCCGTAAAAGAAAGAAAACAGACAAGCCAAGGGAGGGATGCCCCGAAAAAAGAAAGAAAGAAAACACACAACCCATTAAGGAGAGGAGTGTGGTGCTAGCCGTCGCCCACCCTAATCCTTGGTCGTCTGCCTCTTTCTATCTCCCTTCGCAGTCCCTCGCCGATTCTCGCTGCAACCTTCATGCCACCTCGCGGTCGTCCCACTCTCGTCGTTCTCCCTCCTGTCGCTTCCTCCTCTGCCGCTTCGCTCCCCTCTGCCTCGTTCTGCGACGACGCCGCCGCCTGCCGATCCCTTGCTCTCGCCTCTCGGCGCAAGCAACTCTGCCCTCCTCGCGGCATATCCTGGCCCCTCGAGTTTATCGAGCTCTCCTCGCGCAAGGATGACTCTTCTGACGCCCACTGCGATCATTTGCCGCCAAGTCATATCGTTGCTCAGGTCCACTCTCTCACTCATCGGACACTTGTTTGTACCTCCACGGCTGATGCTGGCGCTGGGGTCCCCTTCGGGTGCATCGTGACAGCTGACGGCGGGATTTCCACTGGTTCGTCCTCCTCGGTGTCGTCTTCCCCGGCTTCCTCCCGTTAGGCTGACCGTAAAATTATTTTCTTAAATTCTTTTCGAGGTCTCCCAAGCTTTGGCGGAGAGTGCCCGACACCGCGGCCTTAGCCCGACTGCGAGACATCCAGCTAGTCGCGCGGACATGGCTTTGGTCGGGGAGCGGGTCGTCGTCAGCGGGCTGCTTCGCCGGCCCGAGCTAAACTCCCAGGTGGGCGAGGCGACCTCCTTTGACGAGGCGAACGGGTGCGTATCCTCTCAAGCGCACGCCCACCCTCCCGCCGCCTCTTCTGAGCCTTTGGCGGCCGCGGTAGGCGCTACACGGTCCGAATCGGCACCGAGCAGATCGCGCTGAGGCCCATGAATGTCGAGAGAGCGCCCTTCCGTAGCAGCGGCGCTCCTGCAGAAACACTCGAGCCGCACGCCAAGGTGCGAATACATGGCCTGTCAGCTCGCGCCGAGCTCAACTCTTGCGGAGGCACCATCCTGTGTTGGCACGCGGACAAGGGTCGGTACGGCGTGCAGGTCGAGGGCAGCCTCGAGACAGTGCTGCTCCGACCGACCAACTTGGAGGAGGTGAAGCCTCCGCGCGTGCGCGAGAAGTGGGCGCCCGAATGGCGATCTGCCGAGGCGCGCCCCCCCTGCTTCGCGCGAGCCCTCGGGATGCTCCCGGATCATACCCGCGGACGGCCTCTGTCTGTAGGCGGACGCCATCATCGAGAACAAGGAGCGAGAGCTGCTCGCCGCCGAGGCCGCGGAGGCAGCGAAGCATCCTTTCGGCGCAGGCTTCGGCGCGGCGGCCGGCGGTGGGGCCGCTGCGGTGTAGGTGCGCATTCAGCAAGCACAGGGGTGGGGGTTCCTAGTGCCCCCTTTGCGTGCACGATTTGTCAAATTGTCTTGTGGACGGTATGTACGTCAGTCCACGCCACCTGCCGCCATTCTGCGATCGGGTGGAGAACCAAGTGAAGCAAGATCGTGCCCAGGCGCCAGGGCGGGGACACATGTCCCTAAATCCCATCTCGTCTCAGAGAGAGAGAGAGAGAGAGAGAGAGAGAGAGAGAGAGAGAGAGAGAGAGAGAGAGAGAGAGAGAGAGAGAGAGAGAGAGAGAGAGAGAGAGAGAGAGAGAGAGAGAGAGAGAGAGAGAGAGAGAGCACTTGGAGCACTTTTGGAGCACTTACTTGGAGCACTTGGAGTGCAGTCGGTAACCTCACATCCTCATCCAGCCAGGGACTTGGAGAGATTTTCTCTTTCCACTTTCGTCTCAAATAAATAAATAAATAAAACGGACACCTCTACTAGGAGATGGGTAAAAAGGAACAGGTCCCCGCCCTGCGGTCTTTGTGCAGGGTTCTTTGTGGGTGTGGTCGGCGACTAGCCGGGGTCGTCCTCCCGATGGGGGACTAGCACTAGCCGTCTTCCACATGGTCCCTCGGGTCCCTGCTGCTCCTAATCTCGTCGTACATCCTCCTGCTGATCTCCGCAACATCCTGCTCCCTCCCTCGTCTCGCCCTGCGCGTCTGCTCCGCCTCCCCGTCGTCCGCCCTGCGTCGTCTGGTGACGGGTCCTCCATAGTCGGTTGAGGTCGCCGCCCTCCTCGTGCCTCTTCCCAACGTTTCCTCGGCAGCCGATGCCGTCTGCTCCGACTCCGCCGTCCCCGGGTCTGCCCTGCCCTCGTCTGCGCTAGCTTCTGTTTCGTCATCACTGATGTCCGTCCTCTTCTTTCTCCTCTTGTTGTATGCTTTGTACATCGCGTCGATTCCTTTTCGCGTGAGCACCAGCCTGAAGCCCGCCCAGCAGCTGAACCGCTCCCTAAGTCGAAGGAGCATCATCAGTCTCACCCACTTCGCTCGCTGCCGACTGTCTCCGCTCCCTCCCGCTTGGGCCGCCGTCGCGTCCCTCGTTCGTCCCACTGGCTGTTGGCCTGTCCCCTCGTTACCTCTGTTATCCCTCCTCCTCCGCGACTCCCTCAAGGCTGGCCGGGCCTCCTTCCACCCAGCGAAGAGCTTCCTCAGCCACTCAATGTGTTCCTCCCTCTTCATTATGCGCGCGGTAGCCTCATCGTTGAGCTGGATCCACCTCTGCACCGCTCCCGTCGCCGCCTCGGCCACGACTTGCAAGTTCCTCGTAACCCCGGCGCCAAGGTCCCTCCGACTCTTCTCCGAGAGATCATCTACCAGCGCCGGCAACACCCCCCCGACGGCTGGGGCTAGTGCATCGTACCCGTCCTCATCCAGCACCCTATAGCGTGAGCCCTTCAGCGCAGCGACATGCGCTATCCTCAGCGTCTTCAGTGTATCCTTGGAGTCGGGTGCCGCCTGGGCTACTTTGCTGATCGCCGTCCCCGTCTGCGCTCGCGCTACTCTGAGGAACCGTCTGGCCTGCTCCCTATTCCCCAGGCAGGCGCCGCTAAGCAAGTGCGCCATTGTCGCCCTAGGCGGGTTCTCATCTTCCTCGGTCCATTGCTGCGCGGCTTTCCGCACGATCGGACACAGCGGGTCTCGCTTTAGTGCCGCCCTCCTCGCCGCGTCCCTCGCGGCCTTACAGACGAGGCAGCCCCTGAGTTCGCTCCTTGTGGCGGCTCCCGGGGCATCTCTCCCCGCCTCTCCCCGCATAATCCTCTCGTGATGCGCTCCGTGTGGCACCCCCGCCTGCTGCCGCACACGCGCTCCCATGACGGTCTTTGTCACCACGTTGTGATCATCCACATCGGCGAATTCAATCTCGCGCTCGCCGTGCTGATCCTTGATCCGCTGGCGCTTGTCCCATTTATGTCTCGTTGTTCCCCTGACCACATCGCTCCACAGCGGCCCCGTCACCCCTGCCGTGTGCGACCCCGCCGTGAGCCCCTCGCCGAGCCGTCCTCGCACCCACTCGTTCGTGTGGCCGCGTGTGGCGTAATAGGTCCTCCGGTCCAGTACCTCCCGCCCCCACTCTCTGTCTGCCGTCCTCCGGCGGTCCGTGTACAGGCACGGGCGTGTCCTCACTGCTTCACGGATGACGGCGGTGGTCTCAGAGTTTGACCGTTTTATTTATTTATTTAGGCGGCAGGGGGTCGATATTGGTTATATTGGCAATAATTATTGAGGCGGGCCACCCTCTGACAACCGGCCTCTGTCGTCTGTGCGCTCTCTCTGGCAGATAGAGCTGTCAAACGTTAACTTTGGGCCTAATAGTTGCACTATTGTTGGCTGAAAATCCTCAACGTTGTTCAAGTGTTCTCCCCAGCCCAAGCTGTTACTGTTTGTTACTGTTGTTACTGTTGTTCAGTGGTCAGCAAGCAGAAAATGCCAAAAACCCCGGGTAAAACCCGAAAATACCTGGGGTTTTCCCCGGGTATTTTCGGGTATTACCCGCACTGGACGCTGGAGATCGTCGTGGGTCACCGTGCCAGGCCTTCCTTATTGTTGTTCAGCTGGCCTAACGTTAGCTACTGTTGTTGGGGAGCCCCACTGTTGTTCTGTTGTTACTGTTAACACTAGCAACACTGTTCAGCTCTTAACGTTTGACAGCTCTACTCTGGCAGAGAGAGGCTCTCGGCTCTGGGTAGGTAGGTGGGGAGAGCGAGCGGGCAGTGTCCAGGGGCTCGTTGGTTCAGTTGCGTGAGTGAACTGTTAGGCGCGGCCCCCTGGGCGGCTCTCGCTCTCAGATCGAATGAAAAAAAACGGAATTCTCGCCGGCATCTCAAACGACGTCCCAAAAGTCGACAAAAGGCGATCGTCCCCAGACTATAGTCGAGCGCGTCGGAGAGGTGTTTCGACACCGAGTGTTTGAACGTTTCTTCGCAGAAGAAACGTCGAGAGAAAAAATCTCTCGCCGGTGTTCACAGAGCTGTGTGAACACGGGCTACTCGGCCTTAGCCGCCGGTACGTCAACCGTGCCTGCGGCGGTAAGGTACGCACAGCGCACCCGAGCTACTTCGCGATGGGGCTCATGCAGGTTGAGTGCCCTGCGGGCGCGGGCGCCGGCCAGCGCATCAAGATCGTGGCCAACGGCGCGGAGTACGAGGTGGAAGTGCCAGCGGGCGTCGTTGCTGGCCAGACTTTCCAAATTGAGGGCGCAGACCGCGACAGAGGACACACAATGTCGGTGGATAAAATCGCGCCAGTGCCGGCGAAGAGGCCCGCCCCCCCGGACAGAATCCAGCTCTCGGTCGATCCGGCCAGCCCGTGGATGCCGAGCGACGAAATCCTCGAGGAGTTCTTCTTCGACGATGAACTCACACGTCAATTCTTCAGCGACAAGGAGCGGTGCGAGATGACGGGCCTCGCCGTGCTGTTTCCGCCCGCGGCACCGTGCACCATGATCACCTGCTCCTTGGCCGACGTCAACGCTGCCGACTTTGCCTACTCCCGATGGGTGGCCGTCTCCAAGGAGAACATCTACATCGTGCGGCGCAAGCGAAAGGCTGACTGGCGCTTCGACTGCTGCGACATCAACGAGTCGAGGAAAACCATCCCGATCAACAACGTGCAGGACATCATGATCAACGAGCCAGCCGCGTACGCAGCCTGGTGCTGCTTCGTGCCGAACGTGCTCACCTCGGTCGCGATCGAGACCGCGGGCACGGGCGGCGCCATGGGCGGCGGCGACCCGAGGGTCGACCCGTCTTTTGGCATGCTGCAGGGCCTCCTCGATCCGCAGCGCTTCCGAAATGTCGTGCTGAACCTGAAGAAAGGCATCTACATCGAGCCGGGCGGCGGCACGCGAGCCGTCGGCGCGCCGCCCGCAGTCGACTCGCTCGGCCGCACGCTCGGCGCGCTGGGTCTCCCCGCCGCCGGCACGCTCGCCACCGCGGCGGCGGCGTCTCCGGCCATCGGCGGCAGTGCGATGGAGCAGTACCTCGCTGAGATGGTCGGCGTCCTCCACAACATCGACCAGAACCTTTTTCATATCCGCTCACGGGTCCCTGATCGCCTCTTCACGGGTCCCTGCTCCTCCTAAACGCTAAACCTAATCGCCTCAAGTAGTATCCTGCTCGGTGTGGGACACACTAAATCAAAACGGTCAAAATCTGACGATGGTGGGACGCGTGTGTCCCCGCCCGCCTGCACGATCTTGGTGTGCGACGGGGATCTTCAAGATTTCCACAGGGCTCAACAGGTCATGCAAAACGGGCCCTGAGTGTGACCGAAACGCGTACACCGGCACATTGTCGGCCGATGCGCGGCTCGCCGGCCACCCCAGGCGGTCCCTAGGTGTTATATAGCATAAACACCGTCCGTGCAGGGCTCCTAGGCCATCACTTGGTCCACAGTGGACGGACACACAGCCTCAGCCGGCCCGGCGGGCTCCCGAACAGAGCCCGTCCGGAGGCCAC